TCACGGCTGTGGGCAGCTCCCGGGATGGCCGCGTGTCCTTCAGTGTCTCGGCTCGAGTCAGATTTATCGACCACCTTCGGCTCCTTCCTTCCTTTCCCATTTCTCACCGCGGTTTCTGGTTTCCCGGCCCCACTTCCATCCGAGGCTCTGGCTCGCCGTCGCTGGCCCCGCTCGATGTGAGCGAAGGGCACCCCCAGCCTGCGCCAAGGTGTTAGAGCCTTTATCATGGTCCAAGGCCTGTAATTCACATCGCAAGAGCCAATAAATGGGAATGATTCAGAATCATTTAGCGGCTTCTGCTCAGGAAGAGAGAGACCAGGACCTCAATTAAGCCATTTGTAAATTGTTAATTTAAGCTTTTCACTCAGATGCCTTAAATTGTTCCCTCCTGCAGTTTACAAATGGGTAAAGAGCACAGAAATATAAATGGAGCGGTGGGGAAATGCCATTTAGTTACCGTTTTCGGCAGTGGTAATAGTACTGTAGCTAACAGCTCCGGCTTAAATCAGAGCAAACCAGGGCACTCCTGCACCGACAGCGCGCGGGGACCGGACCTGGAGTGGAGGCATCGAGGCTGTGCTGCCACTCCAGGATATGGGGCTGGGGCTGCCAAAACCCTGTGCAGCCCCGGGACTGTGCAGCCCCTGGTGTGGAGCCACCACTGTCCTTCAGTTCCCTGTCACAGCCCCGTTGTGTCCGTCCCTGCGCCCACCGCTCCCTCCTCCGGGCCCCATCTTTCACAGGCAAGGACGAACGTGCTCCTGCTGCGAGGATAAGGTCGTGCCTTGCTGCACTGATAAGGGTGCGTCACATCCGTTGTCACCACCACCAGCCCCCCCGGCCACCGGTGATTGCAGCGTGGGAGGTCCCGGGTTATCAGCTCCGGGGCTTAAGCGATGTGGTTACGGAGCAGCCCCGGCCACGTAACGGAGCTGGGGTTGGGGCTAAGGCTGCACAGCGTGGCTTGTGACAAGTGTCCCTGTCCCCACGAGTGGGGATGTGCTCACCTGGGTGCCCTGTTTGCCAGGGGTTTTGGAAGAGGCTGATAATTTTTTGGGGGAGAGGCTGATAAAGCTTTTTTGGGAGAGGCGGATAAAGGCGAGGCAGGTGGGGGCTGTTTTAACGCAGCAAAGGGCACATTTTCTGCTCCCTCCCGTGGGACAGGGCTCAGCCCAGATTCGCTCCACGTCTCAAGGAGCAGGATTTGCAGCGTCTGCGCTCAGCAAGTGAGCAAAGGGAGATGGGCACCGAGGAGCTGCAAGGGCTTGGTCCCGCGCCACCGCGCCGGCTGGGAGCCGCGCGCCGCCGGAGGTGTCGCTTCGGCAGCTCGGGGCCGGGCTGTGCTGCCAGGCATCGCTGGGACGGGGCTGCTCGGGGGACGAGCTCTCACTTGACGCTTCCCCAGGTGGCTTTGGCTGCCTCGCCAGCTGGGGAGCAGAGCCCCAGCCCCGCGGGCTCGCCGAGCGGGAACAGCTTGGGCTGCGAGCGGAGCCGAGCCGCGGCGCACGGAGGCACCGGTGCCCGTGGGCGGCTGGCGGGGACGGGGCGCGCGGCGGGGCCCTCCTGGTGCCAAGTCCTTCCCGCAGCTCCACCTGCCAGCACTTGGCAGGTCCCGGTGCCGATCTGCGGCGCCCATGCCAGCCCCGCCAGCGCTGCCGCGCGATGCCAGCCTCGGCAGATGTTGCCGGCAGCCTCGGCAGGCGGAGCAGCCACGTGGCCCCGGTGTCTCACAGGGAGCTGTTCCCCTGCTCCTCCAGCGAGGCTGAGCCATCTTCAGGGCTGCCTCGGTGCCTCCAGGTTCTCGCTGGGGTTTAAGGAGTATTTATTACTCAAGAACGTATCAGTCATCAGTTGGCTGGGTTTAATAAGAAATTATGTTCCCCAGCCCTTCAACTGTGAAAATGCGTTTAGCCGTGTGATGTCAAAGGTCTCCAATGGATTTTTTTTTTTCCTAATCTGGCTTCCTCCCATTTCTGATAGTAGCAGCCATGATCTGTCTGCTGGCGGGGTGCAACCATCGGCCTCTGAAATGGAAAAGGCCCCAAGCCTGGTGCTGCACTGTGCCTGTGCCTGAGCCTCTTCCCTGCGTGCAGACACCCCAAGAACCGGGATAAAGTTTGGTCTGAGCAGCCTGCCCGTGGTCACACAGCTGGGGGACATCCTGCCCCTCTGGTTGGGGGCAGAGCTCATCCTCACGGGGGCTTTTCTGGGCACTGCTGCTCGGCAGCCCGTGATTTCTGGGCATTTGAGCAGCGCACAATAGCTGCACTGTGTGCGGCGTGTTAGGGCACTGCGCGCATGAACGTCGCTGTACAGACTGCGTGCGGAGCACGGCGGGGCTGGAGCTGTGCTGTGTGCGAGCAGACACAAAGCTGGGCTGTCTCGTGGTGCTCGGAGCCGGGTGAATGGGGTCCTGCAATGACTGCCCCGCTGTTCGCACCGCAGCCGGCAGCGCCGGGGCAGAGCGTGGCTGCATTGTGCCGGGGCTGTGCGCGGGCATTGTGAGCAGTCATCGTGCTTCTGAGGAGCTCGCAGATGACAGGAGCCAGGAGGGGCAGCGCAGGAAAGACGGTGCCTGGAGCCTGCTCCTCCTCACCCCAGGGACCGGGGCTGTGCAGAGCTGGCCCTGACCCCCTGCACCCACCCTGCGCCCCGCCGCGTGCTGGGGCTCCTGGAGGCAGCTCCTCGGAGAGCCCCTGAGAGCAAAACCGTGTCTGGCATCGCAGGTGCAAATGCAGGCGTCTCGCCCTGATGTGTTAGCTGCTTTTACCAGCCTCTCCCTGGGAGTTCGCTTGCTGGCACGCAGCTGCTCTGCCGCGCTGATTGCAGCCTCGGAGGGGCAGAAGTGGCACCTGGCCGCGGGCTTTCCGCGGGCACCGGCGGCTCTTGGTTTAACCTCAGCTCAGGTTTGCACGGCAGAGAAGCCTTGGAAAGTCCCAAAGTGGGAACATCTGCCTTCAGATTTAAGAACAGGCGTTCTCCTCGCTGCTGAGCGCCGGCAGCGTGGGGCCCATGGGTGCAAGGTGTGAGGCAGCACCAGGGCAGCGGGCGGGCCCTTCTGAGCAGCTCTCCAGCTGCAGCGATGCTCATTTGCTCCTCATCAGCAGAGCAATCAGAATTGAAAGGTCACCCCATCCTCTGGCCCTCCCTGCAGCAGGGCTGTGGGAGTGAGCCAGGTTTCAGGGATCAGCGGGAAGAACAACTAATCCTTGCTGCCAGCAGTAACCGTGTTTGCTTTCCCAGCACAGCATCCTCCCCCCGCTGCACCCCCTCGTGCCCCCAGACCTCCAGCTTCAGCTCTGTGTCCCCGAGCTGCCCCCGGGAGGGAGGAGAGCTCATCTTCCCAGTCACTGTGAGCCCTGTGGGCATATATGAGCGCTGGGTGACCTTCCAGCCCCGCCGCCTGCCCTGGGCTGTGCCTCCTCACCTCCCATCCGCACCTCTGTGGACTCAAAGCTCTTGCCCCAAGCCTTCCTATTCCCACAGCATTGGCCCAGGTGATGCAAATAGCACCCAGGTGAGAGGCAACGTAGGCACCACAGAAATGCAGAGCAAGAGGTGCCCTTGGCCCCAGGGTAATGGAGGGAGGGGAGGGAGCTCGCCCTGTGCGTGCGCGGTGCCCGGAGCCAGCCCAGCCTCCTGGCTCAGCTCTGCAGAAGCGCTCAACAAAGAGCAGCGTGATTTTGGGGGTCGTCATGGCACAGCGTGTGATGAATCCCGCCTGCCTGTGCCAGCCGTGACTCACGGCTCTGACTCTTCAGGAGCCTGGACGGGCTCCAGCCCGGAGCCCAGCGCTGCCGAGCTGCTCCCTTCTGGCCCTGCTGCCGCTGGGCTCTGAGCTGGGGGCACAGCTGAGCCCTGGCTGGCACTGGGGGTCCCTTTTTAGGGTGAGCCTGGGATGTCGGGCAGGATGGGGGTGTCCATGAGGGACTGTGGGTCCCAGCCAGGACTGCAGGCAATGCGTGGCATCTTGTCCTAAAGCCCAGGACTTCTGTGTTTGGTTCTGCTAAGGCTCTGTCAGGTCTGGGCAAAGTCATATCCTCCATCTGTGCCTCGGTTTCCCCACGGACAACAAGGAGATAAAGCCCCCCCGGTTGGTCCTGGGTGCAGGGTTTCTCTGCAGCCCAAGCCAGCTGGCTTTCCCATGCGGGTTGTTTGGGCTGGGGTTTTTAGGCTCAAGCAGCTGTAAGTTCGTGAGAGAGCCTTCGGGATGCCAAAATGCGCTGGTGGCAGGGCATGGTCACAAGGGAGAAACACTGGCAATGGGGGAAGGAGGAAAAAGGGGTGAGCTTGGGAAACCTCTTTCTAGCCCTAGAAGGGAGGGGAGAGACTTGGGACAGGCAGGGTGCAGGCAGCGGGGAGCTGCCTCGCGAGCAGGTGAGCTGCTTCTCTCCAGCCACGGCGCTTTAATTGGCTTCCATCTAGCTGATCAACAGAGCGCCCTTGGGCAGGTTTTAAATCTGCACAAATTGGGTTTCTCGTAGCAGTGCTGAGGCCGCCGTGCTTTCAGCTGGATATTTCATATTTCTGGCAGGTGGAAAACGCCGCTCTTGGCTCTTTTGTAGCTGGGGCTGGGGTGTAAGTGTCCCCGCAAGCGCATGAGCGCGTGATTTCGGAGCACTGCTGGCATTGCTGCTGCCCCGGGGGGCTGCTTGGGTTTGCTTTTAATTGCATTTAATTAGTGTTTGTGTGCTGCTCGGGGGCAGCTCGGCTGAAATGTGTCCGTGCAGGACAAGTCAGGGCTCTGCTGGTGTCCCCGTGGTGCTGGGGGTGCAGAGCTGGGGGACCTGGCACTGGGGTGCCCCCAGTTGGCTCAGGACCGTCCCCGGGTGAGCCCTGGGCCGTGTCTGCTCGGGCAGGGCAGGGAGGGGCAGTGCAGGCGCTGACGGCATGGGCACGGCTGTGCACTGGCTCCTGGCTCCCAGCCCATGTGATGTATTTGAGGGGGCACGCTGACATTTCAAGAGGAGAGGAAAAAAAAAAAGAAAAAAAGAAAAAATACCCAGAGACCCACGGGGAGCTTTGAAGTGCCTGAGCCAGAAAAAGAGAGCAAGAGAGACAGACATCCGCACAGCGCCGAGGAATCAAACCGGGCAGGGGGGAAAAGTTACCGGGGCAGGGAGAGGATGTGAGCGCAAGTACTGGCTGCGAGCCGGGAGGATGCGATGGCCGCTGGCACAGAAACTGGGGCAGCGATTGTCAGCCATGGAGACGGCCCCACCGCCTTCACCACCCCGCCGGCCACGCACCCCGCGCTAGCACCGGGGACGGCAGCGGGGACCGAGGGGTGCCGGGAGCCGGGTGGGAGCAGGCGGCGGTGCGGGAGCGGCTGCGGGTGCCGGTTCCCAGCAGCGGCACCGCGGCGGCTCCTCTCCCCCGCGCCGGGTAAGGCGGCATCGCCGCGCGGCTGAGCGCCGACCGATCGCTGCGCGCAGGCTTCCTCGAGGTCAGTGCCGCGTAATGAGGTCGGTAACAATGCACCTAGCTGCTGCCTTTCTCCGCGTCCATGTTTAATAATGAACCGCTTCTGTATTTAATTAACATAAGCAGCCGACGCAACTCGATCCGTCTCCTTAGATTTAACTTGACGGGGACGGCGTGTTGCTTTAAATGCCAAGTGATTAGTAAAAGCGTATTTAATTTGGTTTAGACATATGCGATGAGATGCATGTGTTTGTCACACAGATTTTGGAGCCGTGCTCCGAGCAGTCTCCTGGTTCCTCTCGGCTGCCTGGGTGCGACCATGCTTCCTCGCTGGGCAAAGCATCCCTTTGGCGCTTCCCCTAGAGCAGCGCCGCGGCTGCGGGAGCAGGAGAGACCCTCCGAGCCCGGGGACTGCAGGCTGACGCCGTTGCTCGTGGGTACGGAGTGGGGGGCACGGGGGGAGGACGTGGGCTCCGGAGGCTCAGCCGCTGGGGACGGACCTGGGGCAGCGCGGGCCAGGCTGGATGCTCGGCGCTGCCGGGAGGAGGCAGGCAGGGCTGCAGGCAGCTGCTGCTGTCCTCCTTTTGCTTGACTAAACCTTGCTGCCCGGACAGCTGCGGGCTGGTGCTGGTGGAAGGGCTCAGCACCATTCCCTCAGCCTGCTGCGGGGCAGCGCTGTGAGTTTGGAGAGGGCAGGGGCAGGGGAGGGATGGCACCCGCCTTGGGATGTGGGCATGAGCCACCCGTGGGTGCTCCCGGGGGCACGATGTGGTGGTCATGCCCTACTGCCACCCACGGCAGGACGCGGTGGGGTGTACTGGGGGATGCGGTGACAGCTGGGGAGCCCTGTGGGGACCGGGCACCTCGGCTTCCTCGGGCAGCAGGATGTGGCCCAGCCGTGTCCCTCTGCTGGGGTCTGTGTGCCTGGGGTCTCTGTTCTGGCTGACAGCGAAGCCTGGGCAGAGCTTCCTCAGTTCTTCAAAGTGTGGGTGCGCTTTCCCGCATCTAAGAGGCTTTAGACATTGATTTATGCAATATTTTTCAGTATTTTTGACTTTTAACTAGCTGTGACTAAACAGGCTGGCAGAGCAGGCTGTGACCAAACACCTACGTGCTACCTGGGTGCTTATAAATAGGGTCTGTTCTCCCCTCCCGTCTGCAGCATCGCCGGGCTCCCGAGCCCCTCCGTAACAGAAATAGCTTCCTCCAGCCTCTCTCCTCCCTCCACCAGCACTCAGCATCACCCCGGCTCCTGGGGATGTGCAAAAAGGCAGGGGCCAAAACCCCGAACTGCTGGCGGCTGCTGGGAGCTGGGCTCAGCGCTCTGCACTTGCAGCACGTAGCGATCACGGCAGGAGCCAAGTCCTCGAAGGAGCCGGGTGCCCCTGTGCCAGCGCAGCGCCGGCCAAGTGCTGCGTCAGGCTCCGTGTGGTGCCCCCCGAGCAGCCGCTGCCTCCGCGGCCCTGGCACGCAGAGCTCGGGAACCAGGGGGCTGCTTCTGGTGGAGCTGAGCGCTTGGTGCTGGCCTGAGGCTCTCCTCCCAGGCAGGGGCTGGAGCAGCTTTGGGTCTGACTTGGGTTTTTTTACTGTTAGAGGCTTCATCGGGAGCCTGCTCCCAGCAGGGGTGCGGGAGGGGGCGGCTCTCCCCTCGTCCCTGCTGTGTTCTTCCAGATGAATTTGCTTTTGATGAGGTGTAGCATGTAGTCGAAGCTCCTGTCAGGCGGTTTCGGCCTCCCATCGGCGAGCGAGTGGTTAGCATGACTGCACTAATGGCAGGAGATTAGAGGAAGTGATTAGCTTGCTTGAAAAATTGCAGCAAGTGCATTCGGCACAAGCGCGGGGCTGGTGCAGTGCGTGGCTGCGCCTTGTGCATTGCCAGGTGAAGCTCACCCCTCGCAGGGGCTTTGTCTCGTTTTTATCCTTCCTCTACATCAGTGTGTTGCGTTTTCTTTCCACCTCTGATCGCAAGCTCTCCGAAATGAAGCCTGCCTGCATTTCCATGCTGGTGCAGCGATGCCTGCCCTGCTGCCTGCTCTCCCTCGCAGTCCGACCCCAGGACGAGGACATAGCCTCCAAAGAGGCTCCTGCTCTTGGCTGCAGCCCATCCATAACCCGTGGCCGTGGGCCACGCGTGGGGGTCCCACAGCCCCCTCGCTGCATGGGGTGGGTGCCACGGCTGCGTCCCCATGGTGTCCCAGGGCTGCCACCCGGCTGCTGCCGGCAGGGCGCAGGCAGAGCGCGCTCTCTGTCCTCGTTTCTCCTGTCACCAAAGCAATTGCGGTGGCCTTGCTCTGCTCGGTGACTTCACTCGGCGTCTCATTAGAGGAAGAAACGGTGCTGTCAGGAATTGATTTTTGATCTCGGCGTGAGTCCCCAGCCCTGTCTCCCCCTGCTTCCTGCTAACGTGGCTCTGCTGCTCCCGTCTCACCTTCCCTCCTGGCTGGCTCCGCACACGTCTGAGCTCCTGCTCTGCTGGCAGAGGTGCCAGGAAGGAGCCAACCCAAACCCCGACTGTGGGGCTCAGCTGAGGCTGATTCCTTATGGGGAACGTCATATCTCCATGGGTCTGGTCTCAGATGTTTGGGATTCCCCTGCCTTCCTTCCAAAGGCATTAAATTTTCCCTTTCTCCTGCACCTAAAAGCCAACAAACTCCTGGAAAAGCAGGGTGCTGGATAGGAGAGCAGAGGCTGGCAGCAGGCACTGGGATGTGTTGGTGCCAAGTGGGGCACGGGTGGTCGGTGGGATGGAACCGGGCACCCACCCCGGTGCTTTTCCCATGCACTGATGGAGAGTGAGCTGCCAGGGGTCCTACAAAAGAGCAGCAGCGTTGGGGTGCCCGGGCACCACGCTGGGAGCACCCCAACCCTGCCCTGCACCCCCAGCCCAGCAGTGCAACAATGAAGGGTGAAGGCTGAGCCCCCCAGTCCCTCCCCACTGCACCAGCCCCAGAGATTTTGCTCTTCCCTGTACGCTGCAGCCCTGGGGGTGGGTTTGGGGCTGGCTCCTCGCAGCCAGGCCCGGCTCTCGCAGCAGGACCCCGGCCCCCCCGCCTCCCCTGCGCACTGCTCCTGCCCCCCTGCCTCTGCTCTGGGCTAAGAGGAAGCATCGATTTGGTGTCTTGAGGGGCAGTTTATCGCTTTCCTGATGCCTGATAGATTGGAATTGATTTGCAGAGCAATTTGCCTGAGCAGCTCAGCTCGGAGCCGTGCTGCGCCCCGGCTCTGCAGCAGTGCGGCGGTGCCCCTGGGGCTGCTGCCCCGGCCCGCAGCGCTCGCGGCTCCGGAAAAACTCAGGGAGGGAGATGCGCAGGGCAGGCTGGCTTAAATAGCAGCTTAAATAAACCTGCCTGCAGGGAAGGGGTGATGACGAAGGCAGCTTTGCAGCAGTTTGGGGGCCTGGATCCTGCACCGCCTCGGGTTTGTCTGGGTGGCTTCTCCCCGAGGTGCGAGCGGGGCCCCGGCTTGGCGGGGAGCTCGGCTGCGCATCGCCGCACGACTGCGGTGAGTCACTGACCTGCACCCGCCCGCACGGAGGCAGCCGCCACGCTCGCCTGTCTCAGCGTGGCAGTGGGGGTGAGCCCGAGCTGCCAAAATACTGGGAAAGCTCCGGGTCCTTTCGGGAGATGCTAAATCCGACCCCAGCGAGGGCACCCCGCCATGCGCGAAGGCGGCACGTGGCGCAGCCTGTGGGGTTTGAGCCCTTTGTGTCTCAACTTTCCTGCCTGCAGCTGGACCCATGCACTCTGCATTGACCTCCTCTGGGCAGACCCAGCTCCCCCAGCTCCGTGCCTCAGTTTCCTCCTCGTGTCCAGGGCCAGGGGGTCCCCAGGCTGGACCTGGCTGGGGCCACGTGGGCTGATCCTGTCCCCACTTCACCGCCTCGAGCTGCTGCTGCCGCGTGGGTGGGAGAGGAGACCACGACGTGTCTTGTGTTTATGCTGGGAGGAGCCTGGCCCCTGCTCTCCTTTATTTTCATCACCATGCCAGGGTGCTCAGGGCTCCTTGCTCAGCTGCTCCCCACTGGGGATGGCTCTGCCCTGCTCCGCACTGATCCCCTCATCCCACAGGGCCGCGCTGGCTGCCTTTCCCTGGGCAGTTTCTGTCTCCATGTTAAAACTGGTGGCAGGGCAAAGATTTGCCCCGGCTCCCCCGGTTGTGACTCATCCTCTCTGCATCACCTCGACCTCCGTGAGCTCCTCCACTGCTTGTCTCGTTTTCCCTCGCCCAAGCCAGGGCAGCTCCTTCGCGTGCCGACGGCACCGTGGTGCTGCACAGCCTGCGGGGAAGTGCTCGGATGGGTATAGGAACAGCTCCCTGCCAGGAGCATCAGGAGCTCCCGGGGAGATGCTGAGCTGATCAGACAGCACCGAGAAGAGGGACGGGGCTGGGGAGGACAGGGCCGCTTCGTGCTTTTTGGCTGCTGTGCCAGGACGTGGTGCTGTGAGCGCGCAGGGACAGGCAGCACAAGGACAGGGCGCCCTGCCTGCAAAAAGCATCCTGGTGGGAGCTGAGGGCTGTGTGGGCAGGGCTGGGGGCTTCTGGGGGCCGTGTCCCCCTTCCTGTGTGTGGGAGGGGACAGGGGACAGCCAGGGTCACGTCCCCCTGGCAGCACAGAGTGTGGGGAGGGAGCTCCAGCCAAGGGTGCTGGGGGAGCTCGGCTCCGTGTGCCCGCGTGGGTGCGATGACACCCGGCGAGGTGGGAAGTAGCTGCTGCTTTTTACAGGGCCGGCCAGATGGGATTTCTCCTTCAGCTCAGGTTTTGACAATGACGGGGGAATTCAGCTGATGGATTCCCTGCTTCCAGAGCCAGGGCAGCGCTGCACTGCGGTGCCAGCTGGGCTGCCCCGTGCTCCAAACGGGAGCGCACCCTGCTAGCCTGTGCCCAGCTGCCTGGGACGGATCCTGCTCTGCCTCGGGGCTCCTCAGGCAGCCTCTCAGCAGCCCCTGGGTGCCACCAGCTGTCACAGCCACACGCCTGTGCCCAGGAGCCGCGCTGAGATGCACCAATGCATTGCACGGCCTCGGGTGGGCTCCTCCATCCCACGCAGCTGCAGTGGCCTTGGAGGGTGCAGGCACAGCCAGGGCACGTCGTAGCTGGGGACGGGCAGGGCTGGGTCTGCAGGGATGCATCCGGGCTGCTGCCACGCGGGCATCGTGTCCCTGCCAGCCTGCGGGTGTCCCGGGCACGGTGCCGGCACAGCGGGACCCCAGTGGCTGTGCCAGCCCGGCTGGGAAGTTCCCGAGGAAGCAGCCAGCGGGTGGTGTTTTATCTTCCCTGGTTCCACTTGAATCAGGGAGTGAAAGGCATGGCAGGGAGCCCGCTGCTGAGCTGCAGAGTGGGGCTGTGGGGAGAGAACCTCGGGGCTGTGAGTGGCTTTGCCCCCTGGGGACAGCCGTACCCCGGGCACGGCGAGGTTTGTGCTGGGACAGGCGCTAGCGGTCCCATACAAGCAGCGGGGTGGCCGCCCTCCCCTCAGCAGCCTCAGCACCACCCGGCCTCTCCCAGGAGGTTCAGTGCCAGGTCTCCATCAGCCCAGGAGCGAGAGGATCGCAAGGAAGCTTTCAGCCGAGCCGTCCGTGAGCTTTCACTCCTCATATTGCTCTCTCCTCCGCACGAGGCCGCCGGGAGGCACGGGGAGGGCGTGCGAGCGCTCCTGCCTTGACGCTCACGTGCTGGGATGGCCCTGCCGGGCCGTGGCACGTGGGTGCGTGGAAGCCCAGGTTTGTGCCTTAGCCAAGCTGCAGGGGCACCACGTGCTGAGCCCCCTGCCTGCAGCCCCCGAGCCAGGCAGAGATGCCCCCGGGAGGCATGGCTTTGGGAAGAAAACACGAAGGCTGCCGGTGCCAAGGCGCAGTGGGTGCACAGCGCACATCCCCGCACCGAACTGGGGCTGAGGGCTGCTGTGGGTGATGTCTGATCTGACTGCTGTCCTAGCTGAAACGTCAGCAAAACGCCAGGCAGGGAACAGCTGGAGAGAAGCCGGAGAGCATCTGCAGTGCTCCTGGCCAGAGCAGTGCCACCCAGCTCTGTCCCTCCGTGGGACACCGGCACCCATGCAGCTCCTGGCTGCATTCACCAGGCTTGTTGGCCCTACAGAGCCTCGAGGCCACTTTACCACCACGGCCCCGTCTCAAAAGAGTCACGAGTACAGCTTGGCTCAAGCACCGCAACCCCTCTGCTGGTCTCCTCACCCCGATGGGTCCCCACCTGGGCAGGGGCTGACTCCTGGGGTCCCCTCCGAGCTGCTCAGCACAAAACGAGCTGAGCCAGCCCCGTGAGCAGCCGGGTGGGTCTCCTGCTGCCCTTTCCCCAGCCCCACGTGCTCCGTGGTGGCTGGGCAGCGTGGCAGGGAAGGGGTTAGCTCAGCGCGGGGCTCTCCGTGTGCGCCGTGCCGTGTCCCCGGGTGCCGTGCGCAGGCAGCGGGGTTGGAGCTCGGCGGCTGCGGCGTTCCGGGGAAGGCGAACGCGTTGTGCTCATCCCCCTGCCTTAATGGCCGGGCGCGGGGGAGCCACGTAGCTCCAAGGGCTTCTATTCTTTTGCCTCCCTTTCTCCCCAAATGTAATCGCTCCTTCCCCTCCCCACTCCCCCTTTTGTACAATTGCTTTCTTGGTCTATTTTTCATGCTCCGCTAACTGTCACGGCTTTCACGGCCCGCGTGAGCCTTGCTGCTTCATGAAGATTTATGAAACTGCAGTAATAAACTGTGTTTGAGAGATTCCTCTTTATGATAAACCCCCGCCACGCTGTGGGCGGGGGGGATCGCCACAGACCACCCTGCCGGCCGCCCACCCCGGCGTGGCTCTGGCAGGGTAGCACCCGCGGCACAGGGCAGGATTTTGGGGACCTCTCCCACCCGCATTGGCCAGGGAGGGAGCAGGGAGCTGTTGGAGAGTGGTGCTTGGGGAAGCATCATCGCCAGCACGGGTGGGCTCCAGTGCCCACCCCCCAAATGGGGTGGAGGTGATGGCCGCATCCTGCTAGGAGCCCGGGCTGCGCCCCGCTGCTGGCAGGTGAGGAAGATGGATGGATGGATGGATGAATCGCTGAGCGCTGCGCTCCCTTAACCCCCCGCTGCCCGGAGAGGGGCTTGCCAGGATTTTCCGTGGGATTTCAGCTGCTTTGAGAGCCAAGGAGCCACCTTCAGGCACTGGAGACCTGGGGGGTTCCCCCCCCATCCCACCGAAGCAGTTTGCTGGCTGCTCAGAAGCTGTCCTGAGGGTAAGCATGGAGCAACCCGGGGCTGGGGACATGTCCCTGCCTGGCCAGGATGGGGCAGGGCTGCCCACGGCTCCCCCGGCCCAGTGACCCACTTGGAAGCAGCCCCAGGAGGTGGCCGCGTGCCAGGGGCTCGGGGAGCTCCGTGGAGGATTTTATGGCCCCCTTCCGAGGGAGCTGCCGGTGGCTCCTCCCGTAGCAAATGATCCACTGACACCTCCGGGCTGGGAGCATTGGGATGAGGTGGGGACAGGCGTGTGCGTGGTCTGCGGGGGCTCCTCCTGGCCCCTCCATCCTGGGCTTTGTGATGCTGGGGCTGCCTTCCCCCGGCTGCTCTGGAGCCCGGTGAGGGGTGCGGAAGCGGATGCGGCACGGCCGGGGGTGGAAGAGCCCCCAGCAGCTTCCAGCTCTGCTCTGACCCCTGTGCGGATTGTGCAGGGCTTTTCAAATCATCCTTTTTAGCAGTCGGGGAGAGACAGCGAGCTGGCGCGTTCCACTCCCGGAGCGTGTAATTAGGGAGCAGGGAGCTGCATGCTGATGTGCCGCTCTGTGCCGAGAGGAGGAGGAGGGTGGGAAGGAGCCGGGAGCTCAGCCTCTCCCCAGAGCTGCTAAACCCGGGGCTGGGGGAGGCACCACCCACCGCAGCACCCCAGGGTGCAAGGAAAACCCTCCCTCGCAGTGCCCTGAGCCCATGTCCCTGCGCCTCCCTCCAGCTCGAGGCCTCGCTGCGATGCTGCCTCTCTCCCCGGTGAGGGCGAGGAGCTGCAGCTCCTTCCTCCTGGTGCTGTCGCTGCTGTGCCCGGGAGCTGTCAGGGTGCTCCTTCCCCCTCCTGCTGCAGCCTTCCCGGACCCTCTGTACCCACGGGGTGCTGTGAGCCTTCCCTGCAGGGGGACCTCGTCCCCACAGTGCAGGTGCTGGGTGCGTGGTGCCCGGGGTGCTCGCAGCCCCCTGCCCCGAGCCCAGCACCGCGCTGCCCTCATCTCTGTGAGCTTTAGGGCTGAGGTGGCCCCGTCTGACACCTCCCTGGTGGCATCATCCCCGGAGGGCTCCGAGGGCGTTTTGCACGTGGTGGATGTGCTGTGGTGACCTCCGTGCAGGGGTGATGCGGGGACCAGGCTGAGCCAGGGCTCAGGGGCTTCAGCTCCTGCTCCAGTCCTGCTGCTTCCAAAGGCTCCAGGCTTTGGCTGGGGGCTGAGTGCTGGTGTCACCAGCTCGCAGCAAAACCCCTTGGATGACCTTGAGCAGATGAGTTATGTCTGTAGCACGCACTGGAGGCTTGTCCTACACTAATAACACGACTGCTTGTTATAAAGCTAATATGTTGGGTTAATAAATAATTGAGGGGAGAGGAAAAGCTCGCTGTGATTTGCGTAACGGGAGCTTGGGAAGGAAGGGGGGAAAAGAAGGACAAGGAGGGAGATGAATAATGGATCAAGGTTAAATGGTGAGAGAAAACGAGCCTTAGCGTGGTGAGTTCCTGCAACACGAGTGCTGCAGGTTGCCAAAACAGTGGCAGAGTGCTCGTGGCTGGGGTACCGCCGTGGGCTGGCCCCGGGCTGTGTGCCATGGGCTCAAACAGCACGAGATCTTCAGAGTCTCACCGGTGGCTTCTTGGGGTGGCACCATGAGGTGCTCTGTGGTGGGCTGTGTGCCGCGGGTGGCCCCATCTCACAGCCCCCCGAGGAGGTGACAGGCGTTGGCAGCGTGCGGGGACTCCCAGGCATTAATTACCACTTGCATCGTGCGTGCTGGGCGCAGCTTCCCTAGAAATTAGAATCACAACGTGCCGCTGACGGCTGGCCCATCCCGCCAAGGGACGAGCCCTTCCTGCACCCTGCTGGCACCCCCTGCCCAGGACTGGGATCTGCGAGGGCTGGGGTGGGCAAGGGGGGGTCCTGGCGGCCTCCAGCAGCAGCACAGTGCAGGCACTGGTGGGTGGCCACGAGCCCCCACCTCCCTGGCCCACTTTTCATTTTCTTTTTGGTCTGTCTGTGTGTCTGTGTCCCTCCGTCTGTCTGTGCTCCGGGTGGTGCCCAGCTCGTGTGTCTTGTCCGTGCCGTGTTGGTGCCCCAGCTCTGTCTCGTACATGTTTCAGCCCAGATGTCGTGGTCCTGGTAGCACCCCAGCCCCTCTGCCCCTCCTGCAGCCCCAGCCCATCTGACCCCAGCCACCATCGCAGGGGGACAAACCAACCCCGTGCCACCCCCCCACCAGGTTACATCCCTTTGGGGGACGACCCAGCTCCCAGCGGGGCCTCAGCCACATCTCAAACCACCCCTGGCCCCTAGCTTACAACCCCCCCAGCCCCATCATAGCACCCCAAACCCCCCCGGGTCCTGACCCTGCTCTGCTCTCCCCGCGCAGATCCCGACAGGACGAGCACCCACATGATCTCGGCGGACGATGCCGAGTACCCGCGGGAGTACCGCACCCTGGGCAACGGCACGCGGCGCTTCTCCAACGTAGGGCTGGTGCACACCTCGGAGCGCCGGCACACCGTCATCGCCGCCCAGAGCCTCGAGGCCCTCACCGGCCTCCAGAAGTCGGAGATGGAGCGCAAGCGGGACGCCTTCATGGACCACCTGAAGAACAAGTACCCGCAGCACGCGCTGGCGCTCCGCGGGCAGCAGGAGCGCATGCGGGACCAGGTAAGGGGCGTCTGCTCGGGGTGGGGAGGCAGGGGCTCAGCAGGGGCCTGGCTGCAGCATGGAATGGGAGCTCCTCTCCCCCAGGGCTGGGGTCCCGGGGCAGATTTCCCCTGCACTGGGTGGATTTGGTCCCGCTGGCTGTCGGAGGAGGCAGCGGGTGTTTGTGCGCGCAGGCAGAGGGATGGATGTGACGGCCACAAGGTGGCTTCACCCCGCCGAGGAGGGGGCACCCACGCAGGTCTCTTCAGGTTTCAGCTGCAGCTGAGGGTGTAGGTGCAGAACTACAGCCAGCCCCGGATGGAGCAGCACAGGGACAGGGACAGGATGGGATGGATGGGATGGGATGGGGATGGGGATGGGGATGGGGATGGGGATGGGGATGGGGATGGGGATGGGGATGCGCTCTGAGCCGGGGTGGTTCTGTGCAGGGATCTCCCTGCTGCTGCATGGGCAGGGCTCCAGGGACGTGGTGTGAGTGTGGGGGCTGTGGGGAAGGGCGAGCAGGGGCAGTGAGGGACCACGGCTCTGCTCTGAGCTGCGTGGGGCAGTGCTGTGAGTGGCAAGGTGCTCCTGGGGTTTGGTGCTGCACAGGGGATGCCCCTTGGCTGCCTGCTCCTGGGGGCTCAATTCTCCATCAGGGACCTCAGAGTGGGCCAGGGCCAGCAGGTGACACAAGCAGGCAGCCTTGCTGAAAGCAGCACAGCCTGAGGGCCCTGGGGGTGACACCCACCCCTGTGCCTGGGGGTGTCCCCAGGGTGCTGCAGGGGGGCGCCCAGGCTGCTCCTGCAGGTAGAAGCGAGCCCCAGCCCCGGGGCCCACCAGGGGCAGCAATAAATCCCCACCTAAACTGTCGCTTTTATAAAAAGGCACAGGGGAGGGCGAGCGCGGAGCAGCTGGAGGAAGTGGCTGGAAAGAAATCTTATATCATCTCCAACTAGACGCCTCCCCGAGGGATGGAGGCGACGGCTCCCAGACTATCGCGGCGGGAAGAAATTGAGCTTTGTAAGGAAAAGTGGCAGCTCCGTGCCACATCCTGCCAGCCCCCTCCCGTCCCCCTGCAGCACCGGGGGTCCGCGCTCTGCAGCCCCTCTCCGTGCAAGCAGCTCAGGGCTGGATGCAAAGAGGAGCAGAGGATCCTGCTCCTGCCGCCCTCCAGCAGGAGCTGTGCTGGCTGCTGGCGGTGGCTTTGCTGTCCCCGAGCAGGGCGCTGCCCACGGGATGCTTCCAGAGCCACCCCGGGGACCCCCAGGGGGGCGTGAGCCGTACCCAGGCCTTCTGCTCACAGGCGAAGTGACATTTCTAGCTGCTGAGTGATATTACTTAGCAAATAACTCGGAGTCTTTCCCTTATTATTACAGAGATTTAAGGACTTTTTTCTTTAGGCAGCAGCTGTAAAAGCAAAATCCAGCTAGTGTTGACTCGGGGGCTGCTGAGCTTTGGAGGATTTTAGGAGGCGAACAAAAAGACCTTCTGCATTCTGGAAGCATCTTCTGCATTTCCAGCTGCAGGCTCCAGCCCGGGGCTTGGGGCCGTGGACCCCCTGTGGGACACCCCTGGGATGAGGGTGGAGGGTGGGGGGCAGGGGGCTCCCTGTGCTCCTTGGACACGGGCACGGCGCCCGCCCCAGCCCCAGCTGAGAGTCGCCTTCTTGCAGCTGGTGGGGAAGGGGAGGAAAGAAGCCGTGGGTGTGTGTTGTCATTTTCCCTACAGGCGGTAAATAATAACGGGGAGAAAATGCAAATAGAAACGATGGAAACCTGGGGGCAACCTTAAAATGACATTGGGACGCAACGCTCCGGGCCTGCCTGAAACAGGCAGAACTTGCTCGGGTGTTGTTGAGGGAGCCTGGCGGATGTTTCAGATCGCAGGCTGGGCTGTTTTGTGGGTTTTTGTTTTTAAAAAATTACATGTGAGAGGGTTCACACAATCAAAGGTGAATGGAAGTATTTCATAAATGTCAACATCCCTTTCGGCATGGCAAAGCCCGCAGCAAATTGCAGTTGTACTCCTGCATAGGAGCTGGAAAGCAAGCGCAATATTAATTTTAATCATATGTATGTATAACAGAGCAGGGGAAAAAAAAAGGCAAATAATTGTACCAACACCCAACAGACTGCTAGCAAATCTGCAGAGAAGTCTGAGGCAGCAGCTAGCTAATTTAAAACCCAGATGGGAGAACGCGTTAAATGGGCACGTTAACAATAAAGGGAGGAATGGGACTGAGAGCCTGGCGGACCGAGCACAGCGGCCGCGGGGCTTCGGGGCTGTGCCTGGGCTGAATCCTGCCCCCCCGGGGGAGATGCGATGGGAGATGGGGCAGGATGGGGATGGCACAGCCGGGTTTCTCAGCTCCACCTGCAACGATGCTCGGGGACACGGGACGTGGGATGTGGGTAGGGCTGCCCTGGGGGCTGTGGGGCTGCCTGGCCCTGCGGTGACCGCCACCAGGACATTAGGAGTGCTTGGGACAGTAATAATACGAAGGTTTTTATGGGGTGACCCTTTCCTGCAGCCCCTCCTTGTGTCTCACTAACACCCAGACTGCTTTTGGATGTGCTTTTCTGCCCTGTGATTGGGGGTACCAACCTGAAACCAGTGATGTTACGCAGAGAAATGGTTAACCCCAGCAAAAAGGGGATTACAAACACCCCTTTGACCAGTTCAGCCTGCGCACACCAGCTGAAGCCCTGTCTGTTCAGGCGCCTTGCAGCTCGCGAGCTGCAGCACGGGGTTAAATACCGCAGCAGAGCTGAGCAGGAACCTCGCTCAGGTCCAAATAAAAGTACATAAAAGCCTGGATTTAAGCTTGTCCAGTTCTGCTGCAGAGAAAAAATAAATAAATAAAAGGCTCAAGCTAAGTGTTAATGTGTCCGTGGTGCCTGACAGCAGCAGATTTGCAGCTGCCCAGAATAAATCCGACTTTGGGATAAATAAATAACAGCTAGCGCAGAGCGTACCCACAAATCCGGGCCCGTGGCCTTCTCCTGCCTCACCAAAGGGCCCCCCCAGTGCCGTGGGGGCAGGATCAGTCCCACAGCAGGGTGCACGTGCTGGGGGTGCTGGTTTGCTGCAGCTGGCTTCGTGTCCCCGTTCCTGGGCTGTGGGCACAGCCGAGCAGGGAAGGGAAAGCCGCTCTTCTCCCCTACCTGCGCACAACTTTTTGCATGTAATTGTGCCAGTTCTTTGCTGCTAGGGCCTGGCAGGTGCCCCCAGGGCTTACGAGTGCTGTGTGCCGTGGTTTGGGTCAGCAGGACGTCCAGGTCCAGCACCACGCAGCCGCTGCAGCCCCCAGCTCCTGCCCATGCCCCCTGCTCCTGCACGCTGATGCTCGAACCCCGCTCCCCTCCAGGAGCTCCTGCTGATTGCAGAGGTCCATAGGAAAATCCCGGTGGCTGCATTGCACGGAGGTTGTTCAGAAAATGCGGCAGGCCTTTTGGGGGGCACTTTGGGTGATGGTGTCAGAGGGAAAACCCCTTGGGGCTGCAGGAACCGGGGGCTGTGCTGGTGTGTGTGCACGGGTGGGTGTGTGCACAGGTGTATGTGCATGCTTGGCTGTGTGCATGCATGTGCACAGGTGCATGTGTGTGTGTGTGTGCATGCACATGCACACATGGGTGTGCATTACACAGCTGTGTACACGTAGCTTTATGCACGCATGCGCATGCACACGCGTGTAAGCGTGCATGTATGCACAGCTGTGCACACGTGTGTTCATGCATGTGTGTGCATGCACATGCACAGGTGTGCACACCTGCATCAGCGTGCGTGCAAGCACAGATCTGCACACATGTGTAGGTGCACACGTGTGTTCATGCATGTGCGCACATGCACGCGCACAGGTGCACGCGCGTGCACGCGCCTGCCCGCTTGCACTTGCACACGGGTGCATGCGCACAGGTGCGTGCGCGTGCATCAGCGTGCATGCACCCGCGTGCGCGCGCACCGTGCCCGCAGCCCCCCCCCCCCCCCTCCCTCCCGCTCCGCCTCCTCCTCCTCCTCCTCCTCCGGGGGGGGGGGGTGCGGGGGGGGTCGCGGGCACGCGCGGCGCGGCGCCAGGTGGAGTCGCGGTTGCCATGGAGACCGCGCCCCGAGATAAGGGCGGGCGGCGCGGGGCCGGCGGCGGCGGCGGAGCGGGGACGGGAGGAGAAGGGGGGGGGGACCGGAGAGGGGGGGGGGGGGGGCGCGGCAGCAGCAGCAGCAGCGCCACCGCCACCGCGCCCCGCCCGCCCCCGGGGCCGCGCTGCAGCCGCCCAGAGCGGGGAGCGGCGGGGGCTGAGCCGCGCTGCGGGGACACCTGCCGCAGGTACCGGGGGGGGGGGGGATGTCCGTCTGTCTGTCTGTCTGTCTGTCTGTCCGTCCCCGGTACCTTCATCCCCCCCCCCCCGGTCAATCCGAGCATCCCCGTCCCCGCATATCCTGACCCCCCCCCCCCCCCCCTCGTCCAGCCCCATATCTCGCCCCCCCCCCCCCCCATCCCTGCCCTTCCCCTGGGGCATCCCCAACCCCCCCCCCTCCAGGACCCCTGCATCGCCCTCTGGGACCGGGGGGGGCAGCCCCGCACCGTCCCCGTGCCCCCCCCCCCCACCCCAACCGGTGGGGGTCGATCGCTTCCCACGGGCAGCCCCGGGTCCCCCCCACCCCCCTCGGCTCGCTCGAAGCCGCCCGGGGGGTGGGAGCAAGGGGGGGGGGGCGCTGAGACCGCTGGGGGGGGCACCGGGAGGCTGCCGTGATGGGGGGGGAGCGGCGCGGTCCTGCGGCTCTGCCCGGTTCCCCCCCCCGGGAACGGCTCCCGGGGGCGTGCAGGGGTCTGGGGGCCGCCCCCTCCCGTGGGGTTCCCGCAGGGGGGGAACGATCCCGGGGGTGCCGAGGGGGTCACTGATGGGGGTCGGTGACAGTGACCGCAGTGGGTGGGGGGGGGCATTAAGGAGCGTGCGGCCCCGGCCCGGGGTGGGGGGGCACCGAGCGAGGTCCCGGTGGCGGGGAGGGTCCCGCTGCCCCCC